GGTCGCCGCTTCTCGTTCCTGTTGCATCGACTTTTTCCCTCTTGGTTTGACGCCTCGGTACGCGCGTCTTTTTCTAGTATTACAACGGGGTGTAACCTTAATTGCTACATAGATGGTTCATGAACCAGACAGAGATAAAAGGCTGAAAAATATCGCCACATTTCACGAGCGTATTCAGCCACCTCTGCCGCAAGTTGTCACAAGCAGCAGCATTCACGCAGCCAGCGGGACTGAGAACATTGCATTTGTTGCGATGCTGTTTGGCGCTACCATGTACGTAGAGGCCGAAATCCGACGATAGTCTCAGAATATTTGACATTTTCATGTGAATGATCAACAGGGGCACAATTCGAAATCTGAGCATAGAAAAACAGCGCGGAGACTATTTCAATATCGTCACAATCTGGAGACGCATTTGTGGGCTACTGCTTGAAGTTAAACGGATGAACGACAATTACGATGTGGATATCGTTTCTCATCTTCTTAAAGAGATGCGGACGTGCGAGACGTCGCTTAAACAGCTACATCTCGAACTTCATTATATTGCCGTCACATCAAGTGAGGCCTCCAGTGCACTCTCACAAATTGCATGCAAGACTCTTGCCATTACTTGGTCGTGCGTTCGCGCGCGTGAAGCTTATCCAGAAGCGCCTCTTCAGCTCGTGGATGAGCGAGCACATGAACATGTGCATGAGTTCTCTCGTGTTGACACTTCTTGTATTCGCGTTCTCCTCGTTCAAGACAGTATGAACAATTATCACCATATAACAAAATCGAAACGATGCAAAAAGTCAACAACCTTTTGTATAGCTGAGCCCGCCATGCTTCCAGTGGTGCCTGAGAGAGATGTCGATATCGTTACTGGTGCTGTTCGTCGTGCATTGCTTGCGTACAGCAAAGATCTCAACGAGATCTTCAAGCATTACAGGTCGCAGTAGTTTTTCATTGACTGCACAGTGATTGTACTTACTTTATGGCTTTGATGCAGTGCGAGTGGTGGTGCAGGGAGTCTTGCTGCTATGAGTTTTATCGAGTTTAATAAGTTTATCAAAGACTGTTTTCCTGGAGACAAATACGTCACAGCACAAGTTGTCGATACTGTTTTTAAAGCTGCTTCACCGCTACCTTTGACCGACAAGCCTGGCGAGCTATCCTTCGGGATTCCTTTAAACACTCAAGTGACAGACGAAAATGGTTCAGTCAAGGGTATCGAAACGCAAGAATTGTCTGGTCGACACTTTGCGGACGCCCTTGTGCGACTAGCAGCAGTCAAGTACGCTCCAATACCTGAGTCTCGAGCATCACCACTTGAAGGGCAAACCCACACAGCATCCTTGCTAGCACTGCCGTTAGACGAACGTTTTCGCTTGCTTATGAAGCAGGACGTTCTTCCACACGCTCTTCGATCTCAGCGTGAGTTATTTCGTGCCGAAGTGGCACGATCATCGGTTTGCGAAGTTTTCCAACGGCACAAATCTGCTCTTCAGCGTATATTTCGCTACTATGCTTCGATGCACGCTATACGTGAACAAAACTCGACCTTGCCTTTGTCGGGATTCATTGTCATGGCGCGCGACTGCAAGATTTTTGGCACATTTGTTTCACAGCATATGCTTAGCCAACTGTTTGTTAGTTTGCAGCGTGATGATAGCACAGCCCCTTCCTACAAGCCAGCAATTGAGGTGGTGCGTATGGAAGGTGAGCTGGATGTGCTGCGGATAGAATTTGACGACTTTAATGAGATACTGGCCGCCTTGACAGAGTATGTCATTTGCAATCCATACATTGCACTCCATAAGCGTGTCGACCAGTTTTTGCTAGAAATATTACTTCCACGTGCTCGTCAAAGAAAAGATCATGGTGAATAAGCAGCCATCTCGCCCATATCATTCATCGTCGAGAATAAACAACAACGTACGCACATTCTTTGCTACGTTCAGCCTCTCACAACATATTTTACTTTTTAGTATCCATTCGACGTTTAAATGCTTCAACGACGTTATGCACCAGCATAGCGATTGTCATGGGTCCCACGCCGCCCGGCACAGGAGTCACCATACCAGCCACATTGCAAGCTTCTGGAAAATGGACGTCACCAACAAGCTTCAGACCATCGGCATTTGCCACACCATGGAATGCGCCACTCACGTCGCGAACGAAGTTAATGCCCACATCAATCACCATGGCGCCAGGCTTTAACCAATCGCCGCGTACAAGATACGGCTGTCCACAGGCTGCAACGACCACATCCGCTTGACGTACATACCTAGGAAGCCCTATCGTCTTGGAGTGACAGAGAATCGTCGTCGCGTCTCTCTTTTGTAGCAACATACTCACCGGATTACCTACTAAGTTACTGCGTCCAATAATTACTGCTGTCTTGCCACGCAGCGGTGTGCGCTGGTCGTCTAGTAGTGCCAGAATCCCTCTGGCCGTGCACGGAATCAAGTACGGATATCGTCCGCGCATGGTCAGCTCGCCGGCATTAAACGGGTGCAAGCCATCCACATCCTTGTCATGCCTAATACAATTAATAATATGCTGGGTATTCAGTCGCGTGCTTGGGAGCGGAAGCTGCACCAAGATGCCGTCGATGGTAGGGTCTTCATTTAGCTCCTCCACCTTGCGCACAATGGTGTCCTGCAACAAGAAGTCAGCCCTTTGGTCAGCCCTAAGGTGTACCTCTTGTGTTTATTCTAGCTGAATACCTGAATTACGTTTTCATCGAAGAAAAAATTTTCGGAACGGATTCCAGCATGACGGCACGCCGCGTTCTTATTGCGCACGTAAAGGGCTGAGTCTTCGCGGTTTCCAACCATGATAAGTCCCAATGCTGGGGCCTGGAAGGAATGCGTTAAAAAGGTTGCAAATGAGAAGTAAAGCAACATGAAAGCGCACCCGTCCATGCATTGCCGTGAGCTTCGCAATGTCGCCCTTAAGCACAGTGCGTAGCGCCTTCGCGATCGCCTTGCCATCAATTACTCGAGCAGACATCAATGGTGTACGGCAGTATTTTATTCCACAGTGAGGGTTGGAGCACCTCATAAAATCCATATATCAGTTTTCATATTACAGGTATGCAGGTAGCGTCGACAGCCGCCGTGTGCGTGAATGCAGAGGTTCAGGGTGCAGTTACCATTGGTGCGCAGTGCGCAGTGCATCCTGGCGCTTGTTTACGCTCTACCACTGGCTCTATTGTGCTTGGTGAGCGTTGCTTCGTCGAGGATGGCGCTATTCTGGTGAACGACACGGCAGAAGTGATGAAGATTGGCTTTGATAATCTTTTCGAGAGCGGATGTATAGTACAAAGCCACAGCATAGGTAACGGCAATCTATTTGAGCCGAAGGCGCGGACATTAGCGGGCTCAGTCATCGGCGACAATTGTGTGATTGGTAGTGGCGTTGTGGTGACGGCAGGGGAGCACGTGCCAGACAACTCTATTCTCGTGGCTGTGCAGATACCACAAGGTGGCACACGCCGGATCGTGAGAAAGCAAAAAGATTATCTTATCCGGACGCATGCTGCGCTAATTCAGAAATATGTTGACATATACCTCAAAGGCTCTACGAGCTTGTATGCGCTTGAAAAACATCACGAACTAATTAAGCAGTGAACCAGCGCTAGCTGGCCATTCCTGTGCGATGGAATGCCTATTTAATGAGTGTGGCCACGTGGGATTTTGCCACATGCTGGTGCGCCGTGTGATGCCTGTCATTTATATTCCTCGGTGAGACAATGGAGCTAATCGATACATTTCTTACGCTTGGTGGATGCAGGTTTTGATTTCTACGTAATTACTTGTACACAATTGCTTGATCCTCGACCCTAAATGTGCCTTCTAGGTTTTGCTTTAGTAGTCATTGTATTCAAAATAAATCTAAAAGTTAAGCGGAGTAAACATGAACGGAAGGATTTCTGCAATACAATTTAACTATCGGATACCTCCGTAACCGATCCGAACTTCCACTGAAAGGAGAAATTGCTGATAAATGCTTTAGTTTAACAAACAACGTTGTTTACTTAAGCAACCGATCGTACAATTCCTCATATAGTGAATAGCGTTATCATCTTATGGCACTTGCTAGTGCACGGAAGCGTTGCAGCAAAAGCTGACACAGGCGCTGGCGCCAGTTGCAAGGTGCGAGGTGCAAGGTGGTATAGGAACATATAAGAGCGTTTTCTCAGGCGTTCGCGTGTTGGATGTGTGCGAGTAAAATTAGCATTATTGTAGATTTTTGGCGCCAGACTCACTTATAACCCGCTGTCTGCTTACGCTCAGCAATAATGATGCAATCGTTTCAAGAACAAACGATATACACGTGTTGATATCTGCTCGGAGTCAAGTACAGCGTAAGGCAAAGGCTGAGGCGTCACAGGCGACGTGGAATGACTGAATCGGAGCGTGCATGAGGCTTTCTTTTTCAGCCTTAGGGGTTGCCTCTTCTGTCGCGGACCATAATCTGTTGACATCTTTCCAAGGAGATTAGTAAGGATCGTGTCATGTCGGTATAGTTTGCACTGTGCTTGTGAAAGCAATCGGTCAGGTCAAACCATTTCATCAAGTTCTTTTTGAACAGAGGCACTGGCCAATCTACAATGTCCATATATTTTGCGTGCACGCAGGCCATACTTTCCGATGAAGCACCCCAAAAAAGAAATCCAGCAGCGCCAAAACACTTGTCTATGTTGGCGAGCGGCTTTTTGAAAGGCATACTCGAGTACTGCTCAGAAGTTTTGATGTTGTTCTTCACGTCCGACTTCCCGTGCTTTCTAGGAGTCGACATCTGCACCAAAAATGTGGCTGTAAGCTCTACATTTAACGAAATGAAAGTTTATTGTGTGTATAAATACCTATTTGGCTCTTCAATTTTAGGTGTGGCATAAATTTTTGATTGATTTTGTTTGTAATACTGAAAAAATATATACAATTTTTGCACTGAAAATTAAAACGAATTTTGAAGCTTTGTGTGAGGCTGATAGCCCATGTGTTCCACGGACCTGTGAAGTCCCATCGTCTTCATTACTATCTATACTTCAGTACCTCGAGTTTTCCACAATTACACAGATTCGGAGTGTAAATTTTGTACAATCGTGCAAAAATATATTTGCACAACTACAGAGAAGTATTATGTGGCCTTGCACAGTAGTGCAGAGCGTACACCGCTACACCATCACCCACTAAGATTCAGTCCTCACTGAAGCTCACATTTACAATGGCGTTCACATTTCTTTTATGGTTGATGACATTGGGCAGAATTGATCGCCCGATAAGAAGCCACTTCGCTAAAGTTTCACTCCAGATAATGATTTTTGAATATCTACTCCTTACAGCATATTTGCATTGGAAGTCTGCTCTAGTATCCATCATCATATAGTTCAGTTAGTTTTTACCGAATGTAATGGGGTTGAACGTACCCTGATATGAAGGGGCGGGTCACATAGGTCCGGATAACACAAGTTGGTGTAATCACACAATGGTGTGGCTACATCGTAACAAGAAGCCACTACGTGCTAGGACTACTGGTAGTAATGTATATTAATCAGAATTTACTTTGTTAATCAGGAAAACCTACATATTTAGATACAGGCGGCTTTGCCGCAAATAAACAATTAAATACAGTTTCAATTCTGGAAGGTAGAGCGTCCTTACATTGGTTAAGGTTTCAAACACTCTTGGAGGTAGCGGATTGCGATCCACTACACTCGTACTGGTTCTTGTGTCTTGTAAGGTCGGTGACCTTAGCTTAGCTTCCTATAAGCAAAGAGCTACGACAGCCCCGCTGCACTTGGTAGCGCTACGCCTGAGTCGTTACGACGTATCCTCTGTGGCGATGGAGCAATACTCCTGTTCGCCCCAGAGCATGCAGGACGGGCTTAATAAGCTGATGTCCCTGCTTGGCCCTGAGGGCGTGGAACACCTTGTTTTGCAAGGTCCGGAGACCATAAGCGCACGCCTAGAGGCGTTTTCAAGTGATGAAAATGCTGTGTTAGAGCACTTGAAGTAGAAGCTGTCATCGTCGACTGCGTCTATGACGCCACCGTCATCGACGGATAATTCCTTCCGACTCAGGCCGCTCCTGGTGATCGTTAAGACCATCGTGCGTAAGGATGGTGAGAATCTCCTGCTCTGAGTAAGACAGGCCAAGGTGGCAATGTCATCCGCCATGCTCCAGAACGAGCAACAGCGCGTGGTGCGAGCTATCTCCAAGCTCGCGAGCCAAGCGCGAGAATTGGCACTAACGTGCGTTGCTCAGGTTGCAGCCGCGTTCCCCTCCTGGAAGGAGCTGAAGTGTCATCTTTCGTGAGTGTCCTCGCCGCCTAATTAGGCATATCGCGTGCGTTCGCGTTTCCTTGCTGCTCGACAGGGCAAGAAGGAGGTGGTGGACTTTGTTCAAGAGTAGAGAACCCTTATTGCCAAGATCACAGCCAATCCTCTCCTCGAGGAGGTCGCAGTGACCATCTTTTATGTAAGGCCTTCGCACTAGCGTGGTCAAAATGGAAGTCTTTCGTTCGCATCCGTCTTATTTTTGAAGAAGCGGTGAATGTGATATTAAATGCCGAATTCAATTTCAAGTCGGCACGGCATGGTTGGAATGCACACCCTTAGAAGGCCTGAGTCAATGGATCTCAGCCATGCTTAACGAGAGGAGGGAGAGCTCCGAGGTGTTGAGCAGCGTTTAAATACCCGACGGTGTTTTGGTTTTGGAGACACCCGTAACTTTCAGACTGGATGTCTCCTGCGCAAGGCGCGTAAAGTAAAAGAGATTGTGAAGGGCTTGAAAACCGTGGAAGGTTTTGATCGATTCCGGGGCGTCGCGCAATTATGCACGACGCTCTACGATCGAAGGAAGCCAGCTGTATGCTGAAGCGCTGGAAGCGCGGTTGTGAGAAACCGTCTGTTCGCTTGGTGCCGGGATATTGTGTCACTGTGCCGAGGGTCCCTGTGGACCTCGGTGTCAAGTTCCTTGACTTTGATAGGTGGAACGTTGTCTAGTTTTAGACTTGCATGCAAGGTATGACGTTATCCTCGGTATGGCATGGTTGGAACACCATATCATGGTGGATCGGGGTTTGTGCTTTGCAACATTATCTGACAAAATTGTTTAATGTATCAGGGTCCAGATTATTTTTAGATTAGATTTGCACCCCGCTAATTCATGGTCAAATGGAACGCGTGAATCGCGGGGTGGAGGTCATTTGTCGAATCATTTGAGCGAGGAGACCGCGGTGCTGGAACGAGTTTCTCCCACTCATAAAGTTTGCGTTGAATATCTTAGTACATGCCTCTGCAAGTTGATTTCCAATTTTCACAAAAGGTTTGATAAGTCCTCACGTACCTTTGACACCTCCAAACAATGGTGGTGGTGAGGGTCGTCGATCAAATTGACTTGCAAATGTCATTCCGGCTCCATTTCGTAACAAAATTCTCATTGAGATTTAGCGTCATGCTACCCGACGCTACGGCTGAGAGCCAGAATGGCGATGATAGTGGCTGGTAACACTCACATGGTTGCTTAGTGGGTGAAAGCGATTTTAAACGCTGTTTGACTGTCTACATATGCAGTGTCTGCGGACCGTTCATGGATGTATTGACAAGAAGATTAGATTACACTCTTGGGGTCCCGAAGAGATTGCGATCGCATCCTATTTTTGCGTGGATTGAATAAAGCCATAGCACGACTTCACTTTTACAAATTAGTCAACTGGAAAGTGCTTCGTTTACGTCGGGGTACCTTTTACGCCATCCCCTGTATCTGAGCCATCTTCTGAGCTAGAACAGCAGCGATACGGTGCCGGACCACTTGGAAGGCCTGAAGCCACGCGGTGTTATGGCGTAGCTCAGATTCTTCAACACGATTACCCTGGCGCTGCTGCCACTTACACCTGGCGCGATTGCTTGGTCCAGCGCGCTTTCCAATACCAAGTGAGGTCGGACCTTGTTTCAGGCTCGCGACCTGTAACAGCTGTCTCGTGAAGATGAGCACAGCTGTTGACAGCAACAACTCGAGTTGAAGAGCACCGACCTCAACATTGCTGTGTATTGTTCGCTACCAGGTCAAGCATCATGCGACGTTCTAGTCTGATATCAATTTTTTAAGCTAGTTTGTAAAGGTGTAACACCGTTGAGACGATGTATTTCCTACGTCTAGTGCGCGTATCGAGAAGGAAAATCTTTAGCACTTCAATATTGAGATGCTGTCCGATAAAAATTAGCTTTTTTATCTCTACTGCTCTGAACGCAAGACGTACTTCCCATGAGTGGTGAATATGGGATCAAAAAGCGCTCGTTTTGTTATCAGCTCGAGTCGAAAGCCCTGGATCAGCGAGCAAGATCGGATGGACGGAATCAAGTCTGCACTTTTAGACGGGCGATATGGGCCCCGTGGGCCCAGTCCAGCTCACTAGTGATGAGTTAAACGTTGCCGTCGATCAACGGGCATAAAGTGCATACCTCGTGCTGAGTATAGAGTGAGCGCAGAGAGCGGACTACCCTAAGCAAACAGCATGGTCGTATGTCTCCAAAATGACGATGGAGGCGAAGGATCGGTACTCGAAGAGTCACTACGATCGTCTCCATCGAACAACATCTCGGCCTCCTTACCGAGAATGGTTTTAGTTCCTCGGTGCAGCGGGGCTGCCGTAGTTCTTTGTCTGGAGAAAACTTTGGAGAAAGCTAAGCTAAGGCCACCGACCTTACGTTCATTACAAGGGCCAGTAAGCGTGTAGCGGATCGCAATCCGCTACCTCAAGGTACTTAAACCTTAACCAAGGCAAACGAACAC